CGTTTGTGAAGTTTTTACATTCAGAAGATATGATTTCGAAAATTACTTTTTTAGATCTGAAATTTTCTTATGGAGAGTGAAATGTCGAAATGGGTTTTAATTGTCAAAGCGTTTCGGCATTCTATCATCTACCCCTCCATTATCTGGTGAGTCATTGTATTTTTCGATTTTCAGAATCATCTTTTGCTGCGATATGAATTTCCCAACAGTGTGTTATTATCCAACTCTTTCTTGGCGTCACTGGTGGTAGATGTTGTGGATCAAGCAAATAGTTGTAGAAATACATTTGTATACATAGGCGATACTAGAGGCTTCCAAATCATCGTGTATGACTTAGCGCAAAATAGAAGTTGGTCTGTTAGTGATAGAACCATGTATCCCTATCCAAATTATGGAATTTACAATATCGCAGGTGAGTTTTTGGTAGCCCCTGTTATTCAGGATGACAGAAAACTTATTTTATAGTTGATTATAGGGTTCCTACCTGAATCAATCAAGAGAATTCTTCATGTTCACTTTTCGTTTCATAAGATCAATGTTCATTCAATTTTTTACAAGCTCTTATCCTCAAATATTCTTGACCGAGTAGATGAGTTCATAACGTAAACGCTCAGTGTTAGGACCGTTAGGCCGAGTATGAAAAAATCCTTCAGAGGAGCGGCTAATTAGGTCTTTGCACGCGGATCGGCCCTGGATGTAATTGGAAAGGAAACAATCAAGAGCTAGGGAAAAGACAACGACCTTCCGAAGTTAATTCGGACACTATCGACAGTGACAGATTGTTGCCCAAAATACAGAATAGCATGGAACACAAAAATATAAAAAATATGTCTGGCACAAAATCTCATTTTATATTTCATGAATTTTGACAATATTATTGTTTCAAACATCTTGACAGGTTGTAATTTTTATGTTGTGAATGAAAATGATTGGAAATTGTGGATACGTAGTTATAGGATAGTCCGAAATATATTGATCAGATTACTGATATCGGTTCTATCATTCATCAAATTCGTGTATTTTTTGGGTAATTCAAATTCGAAGGAGGCCATTGGGATCTCGAAAACTAAAGGATGTACTAAGATGGTTGAATTAGAGCAAATTTGCGCATTTTCATTCCGAGAAATATGTCGTCGGGTACAATTTTGTATCCCTAATATCTCCGAGGATATGCGAAAAGAAAACAGGAATTCTGGTTAACCACTTTGAGTTTTCTTGCGTTAATTGTTGAAGATTATCGCAATTCATAGCACATGCACATCACAGTATTATTCCTGCTATACGATGATATTTTCAGATTTGAGTTGAGTTGAGTTGAGTAAGCATCGGGGAGTCTTGTCGAAGTCCAGACAGCTAGACCCTTAGTGTGGTTCCATTGTGTCGCCCCGTGAGTATGGCATACTTCACAAGAGTTCCGCAGCTCTGCCGAAGGCTAGGATGTCGGTAGCCGGGAAGTTTGGCGCTCCTTCCGCTGGAAGAGTCGTTTGTTCGAAACTCCGCCATCTGAGCTGTGTTATCGCAGGATATTCACATATGATGTAGAGGGGAGTTTCGTCGTTTTCGAGACAGAAACGGCACGTTGGGTCATCAGAGATGCCCAGAATGTTTAGATGTCTGTTAAGGCGGCAGTGTCCAGTTAGTAAACCAGTGACAATTCTGCATTGGCTTCTTCGCATATTCAGGAGGGATTGGGTGAGACGTACCAAAGGCCTATCAATGGAGGTCTTCGCCTGCCTCATACTCCTGGATTCAGTCCATTCCCGACAAAACCTCTCTGTCAGAAGTTCTTCAAGTTTTCGCAGTCCTGTGCAGAGAGAAATGCTCACGATGAGCTTTGGGCCCGCAGGACGGGCTGAAGAACCTTGCCTTGCTAGAGTATCGGCTCTTTCGTTGCCATCTATCCCACTATGTCCCGGAACACAAAGTAGTTCGATACGGTTTTCCCTTGCTATCTCAGTAAGGTTTCGTTTGCAATCTAAAACCAACTGATAGACCACTCTTGGTGCTCGTAGAGCTTTGAGAGCGGCATGACTGTCGGAGCAGATGAAGATGCGCTTGCCTCTTATGTGGCGTCGTGTGATTTCTTGTGTGCAGGCAAGGATGGCGGACACCTCAGCCTGGAATACAGTGGCAAATTGTCCAAGGTGTTGAAACTCTTCGTAGTCTTGGTTTTTCCCGTATACGCCAGCACCAGTGAGATTCCCAGCACGAAACCCATCCGTGAACAAGGTGAGTCCGGTGCCTGGAATCAGGATGTGTGGTTCGGTTAGCCACTCGTCTCTATCATGAAGGGTTAATTTGACAGAGGAGATAAATTCATGATGCGGCGTAATGCGGTCTTGTACCATGATTAGAACAGGACAGGCTAAGGTAGCTTCGGTCCAGATCTTGGCATGACCTGTGTTGCAGCGATAACCAGTCCAATGAGTGGCGCAGTTGAGTCTGTACGCCGCTTTCATGGCTTCGTGCTCGATCACTAAGTGCAATGGTAGTAGCCCCACGAGTGACCCAAGGGCTGCCGTTCTCATTGCATCCGTAATGTCTACGCACGCGAGGCGTTCCATGTGCTACAAGGACCGTTTAGCGCCCGCCAACCTGGTCCTTGGTCACCACACAATTGACGCGTACGTGATAATAGGTCTTATCATGGTCGTGCAGATCCAATGTAAGACTTTCGGTTGGATACCCCACGTGATGCTGAAGGCTCGCCTACACACCCAGAATGCTGCAGAAGCCTTCTTTATGCGGGTCTCCAAGTGTTCTCTCCATAGTTGGTTGGTGTCCAAGATGACTCCTAGGTACTTAACGCTATTGGAGGTGGATAGGGTGGCTTCGGCAATTCTTCGGAGCCCCGCGAAGTGAGCAGTGCGTCTCCTGATGGTGAAGGGAACAACTGCAGTCTTCGCAGGGTTGACTCCAAGGCCCTGCCGTTTGCACCAGTTGTATATAAGATTGAGTGCTCCTTGAGCAAGGTTGTATACCGTGTGCTCAAACTGCCCCTCAACAAGAACTGCGATGTCATCCGCAAAGGCCTGTGCGTATAGGCCTTCACGCGTGAGGAGATGAAGGAGATCGTCAACAACTAGGCTCCACAGCATAGGAGATAGTACTCCCCCCTGAGGGCATCATTTGCGTGCGACTACCGCCACACTCTGAGTGCCTTGTTTAGCTGTTATGTGTCGCTGTGTGAGCATGGCCCGTATCCATTTCATGATGGTGTCGTTGATTCCCTGCTCGTGAGCGGCGTTACACATGGAATCGAAGGAGGCATTGTCAAACGCCCCTTCTATATCCAAAAATAAATTTAGACTAAACTGCTCACGATGTGATACTGCCTCAACCTTACCAACAATGTGGTGGAGGGCGGTGTTCGTAGATTCACCATTCTGGTAGGCGTACTGATATCGGTGCAGAGGATTGGTAGTAGTTTCACAAGGCCCTTCAGGAGGAAGGATGTCCGGCTCAGGTATGAACACGACCCGCACTGCTCTCCAGGATACTGTATTGTAAGCTAGTGCTATGCAGGCCCTGTAGATCCTCACTAGGAGGGTGGAGATCATGTCCATGCTCTTTTGAAGGAGAGCAGGGAAGATACCGTCTCCTCCGGCCGATTTATAGTGAAGAAGAGTTTCGATGACCCATACGACCTTCTCGTGTGTAACTACCTCCTTGGCCATGGCGAAATCTCTATGTGGATTGTCTGCCTCAGCTGAAGGTGTTATCTCACCAAGTACCTCCCGAGAGTCAGGAAAATGGGTGGACACTAAGTGTCTGAGCGATTCCTTCTCGTCGGTGGAAGTGCCGCCGGGCAGACGCAGCAGCCCTGAACTGACCCTGGGTGTATTTTCGAGAACCTTGTGAAGCCTGGCTGTCTCCGGTAAACTGTTTATACCTTCACAGTAGCTTCTCCAGGAGCCTCGTTTGCTTCGCCTGACCCCTTTCTTGTAGTTCTTCTGGGATTCATTGTATGCATCCCAGGCGGTCGGTGAGTTTTGGCTCCTGGCTTTGATCAGGAGTCGTCTCGTCGTCCTGCGGAGCTGCTGAAGAGAAGCATTCCACCAGGGCGTCGATTCACTGCTGTTACTCTTCTTGAGAGGACAGCTAGCTTCATAGGAGGTCACGATTGCCTCAGTCAAATAGTTGACTGACGCATCAATATCCTCCCGACGTCGTAGCATGGTGAGAGGTCCATCGAGCTTAGGAGTGAGCGTCTCTTTAGAGAAATCCCAGTCGGTCGCTCTCGGATTTCTGTATGTCGCGGTTTCGTTCCTCTCGCCTTGAAGGGAGTATAGGATGTGTCGGTGACATGACAAAGATGCTCCGTCAGAGACCGCCCACCTGCGGACCAGCGGTACTGAAGAAGTAGAACATAGCGTGAGGTCGATGACTTCCTGACGACGGTTGGTGAGGAAGGTCGACTCACTCCCTCTGTTGCGTATTTCGAGGTTGGTACTCGCGAGAAATTTCAGAAGCGCCCTGCTCCTGGCGTTGATATCAGAACTCCTCCAAACAGTGTGGTGGGAGTTGGCGTCAATACCCACGAGGAAAGGCACACCCTGGGTCTCGCAGATTCTCACAAGCTCGGCCAACTGAGGAGTGGGTGGAGGATCTGGGTCGTCATAAGGAAGATAGGCGGAACACACCACCACATCTAAAGGACGGTTAGATCTTAATTTAACCTTGACTGTTACAGGATACAGGCCCTGGGTCGGTCAGTGGAGTCACAGTAGTGCAATGTTGCTCCTCGTAGGCCCAGTCCCTGCACTCGTCCCCGATAAATCCAAGGTTCTTGGATTAGGGCCAAGTGCGTGTTGAGCTTGACTGCGCGTTTGAACAGGAGTCCAGACGCGGCCGAGCTGTGTTGGAGGTTCACTTGGATGAAGTTCAGTCTCTACTATTGATCTCTCGAATCCTTCTTCTCGGAAACATTGTAGAGACGATCGTCAGAAGAAGGTGTTCTCTCCCTCAACCCCCCCACGTGCAGCGCGGCACCCACCAACCGATCCTCCTCGGTGTCTATCCGATCAACCGAATCGGCCAGGCCAGTAGGAGCCCCCGCCGCCCCGGGAAAAGGTGTGGAAGCAGCCTCCTCCGTAGTCTCCATTGCCACTGGGTCAGTGGAGATGGTTGATATGAGATCCCTCAGAAGCGGGCTATTGCTGATGGGGGACTCTTCTGTGGTTCGTATAGGCCTGTCTGGTACAGTGCCTTCCACCCCACCCTTATCCAGAGGAGTAACCTGGGCCCTCACCGCCTTCATGTACGGTTGCAGATTGAGGGTCCTCAGAAAAACTAAGGCCTCCTCGTCTACCCCCACAGTGAGGCGGAGACCTCGGTTTTCCACTGCTCTGCTGAAGACCCTCCACCATCTAGTGGAGAGGCCTTTATTGGCTCGTTCGAGAGCTGTCAGAGTCTCCTGATTGCTCTGGTGTCTACGGCCAGGAATCCGAATGTGGACCCTCAGGTGACGTAGCAGTGCCTGGACGGGAACTGCAACCAGTTCGACATCCTTCCATGGTCGGATGGTGCCGATGGTTTCTCTAAGATACGCTAGGGAGAACTCGTCGGCTGCTGTTACAACCAGACGGCCCCCCACCGAGTGAGTTTGGAGCCTCGGTATGCGGACTTCCGTTTGGATCCCCGCGATCAAGTCCCCAACTGCGTCCGAGAAATCAAGGACGTCGGACTGGTCGAACTCATCCTCTGGTCTGCCCGCTCTCATTATGGCCAGCTGTAGTTCGCTGGGCCCTGAGGTAGCATTGGCATAACTTGTGCCTGGGATGACCTTGGACCCATGATGGGTTGCCGTCCTCTTGGATCTCTTCAAGGTTTTACCAGAGTTCGGAGGAGTAGAATCCGATCTTCTTGATCGTTTGCTGGATCGTGGAACCAGGTGGAAGAGGACCTTGGGTTGACCTTCTGGCACCAGAGGTGCCAGGTTGAGGTCCCTTAGCCCGAGTTTCAGATGGTTTACCTGAGCCGCTGGTGTGTGGTCTCCTTCTGTCCCCAGCCCGCGGACCAGGGGCCCCAATTTTGGCACAAGAGGTGCCAATAAGGGACCTTGCAGCCCTGCCAGCCGGTGTCCGAGAGAAGACCGACGCCCTCGGTAGTCCAGACGGTACCGTACCCAACCTCGAGGGGCCCGGCGAGCTTTCATCCGACGTAGATGGGACTAGCGTAGCCGTAGTGGGACGATTTGCCGGTGTGCCATCCCGGACCTCACTCAAAGGTGGGCCCTGGGTGCACGCAGCCAGTTCCCTGGCTTCACGGTGGCGTCTTCTTTTGCGGGAGCCACATGTTCTACTGTGGCCCCGAGTGTTTCCAGAGTTCTGTGAACTTCGGACCGTCCTTTGGGAAGGAGGCCCTGAAGCATCACCACGCCCTGGATGTGGCGCCTCCGGCCCCGTAAGAGGGACCGAAGTCGGTGTCGGTGGGTGAGCCGTGTTTCCTCTGGAAGGAGAGCCCGACGGCTGCGTTGATTTTTGATCGTTTTCCATGTAGATCCCACGAGTATGGGGAAGGAGACGGTCGCCACACGTGGTGCCCCCTGCACGTGTGGAAGGCTGGATTAAAACTGGGTGCGCCTGGTTCCCAGAGTGTTTCCGCTAATGGTCGAGTACCCCTCGAACATCCATCTCTTCGTTGCTCGCAATACCTTGATTTACTATCATCAACTTCATGATTTCTTATGGCCGCCAAATTGGATTTCCATCGATAATAATAGCATGATAGATCTGAAAATGACATAAAGCAGGGACAAAGTGGCAATATGAATGTGCTCCCAATTTTTGAGTATATCTACGGGAATAATCGGAATTTACTAACGGCATAATTTTTGTCAATTAAATGCACAACTTGATTCAACAATCTTCGTATCTCCTATGGTTTCCGAGATTCCAATAATGGTGACTCTCGAATTTGAATTACCTGGATATATTTCTGTGATGCACCTTCTGTAGTAATTATGACAGCATTCTTACTGAATCAATGTGAAAGCGGTCCCGTTAAAAGAATGCGAGAATGATTAAAGGTTTTAGTCGGTATTAGGAATTCGACACTTCCAGCACCGACAGGGTCTTATACTATACAAGATTTTTTCTCCTGGAAAAATGGTTTCGAACTCTTTGAAGTGTAGAGTAGTCTCCAGCTAGCAGTCGTAAGACCGCCAGTTAAGCGCAACCTGGCTCAACAAAAGTCATTTCCTCAGAGGCGTCTCCCATAGACAATATGAAAACATTTCATTCCTCTTTGAACATTTTGCATCTTTTAGAATTGAAATTATCCCATTCGACCAATCAGCCACTCTCATTTCTTACTAATATGATAATTTCAGTTTTGGAGTGTTTCTTTCTCTCCTGCTCAGATGGCATCACACTCCACTCATATTGTCTATGAGAGACGCCTCTGAGGAAATAACATGTCGACCTGATTTTTGTCCCGCAAAACAAACTTATTATCCAGAGTTAAACTTATTCAAGGAAATAAGTCTCTTTTCTGCAACACTAACTGATGATGAATTGTGAATTTCGACAATTTTGTTGAAGGTCAACAATTTTATGTCATGGATGGCATAGTTGGAATGAGCCTAACACCGAATAAACCAGGAGAACCCAGGAGACTATTTTATCACGCTATGTCTAGCCCTACAGAGAATTGGGTGTATACCTCCTACCTCAGAAATGAAACGATTTTCAGGAATAATCCGTTTGCTGCACCACAAATCTTCCACGTGAGTAGTATTAGTAATGTAACATACATAACCACTGGCCATCAACCTCGATGGATGGTTTTCAGCCCATTAGATGTATTATAATTCAAATGAGCTCAAATCTGGTGTATCAAAATCACTATCCGGCATATTCAGGGTGTTTGAAAAAATTTAGCCCCCGTTGCTTGGTAACGGCATCCGTAGTCGAGATACAAGGTGTTAGTTATTGAATTGTATACAAACACACAATATTTCAAGATCATATCGAGATTACAGGCAACATTGTAATGACATCTTTCATAAATATATCTTGCAAACTGCCACATCGCAAGAATTGATTATCATATTCTATTCACACTTTATGTGGACTTGAACATCATTCAATTTTACATCAAAGAGTGAAACATGAAACTCGTCTTCTACTATATACGGTTTTCGGGATATTCTGGTTTGAAATTGATGAAGTAATAACTGCTGATTATGCTGAGCATTGGAATCCCAATTTATCGAATCCGCCAATAGTAACTGAAAACGCCAATGGGGTGACCACAGTCTGAAAAAAACTGGCTTCAAGAAGAGACCAAATCAACATTGGAAAACTTACCAAAAAGGTAGTGAAAATCTAAGCCATGACAGTGACCAGCCATCAAACAGTTGAGAGCAGAAACACACGAGTTCCCCAAATACTCGTATCCATCCAGGGATCAATTCTAGCACTATTTCTACTCCATATCAACGATTTGTTGGAAGCAACTGCATGTCCAGTACACAGCTTTGCGGATGATAGTACCCTCCTACCGCCTTCCCTTCCAGAGCTCCAATACCAGCCAGACAAATCAAAAACGAACGAGAGAGAAATGTTGACAACATAAATATAGACTATGCAACAATTCTCGAATGGGGATCCAATAACTTGGTAGATTTCAATGCAAACAAAATACAAGCATACCTTTTCTCTAGAAAAGCCGATCTCACTGTGCCCAACATAAGCTTGTCAGGGTTAACCATACCTTTGGAGACATCCATTTCGATGCTTTCGAGATCAATTGCTGAAAATGCATCTCAAAAACTCAGTTTTCTGTTTCGGGCCAGGAACTATTCCACTTCCAGTCAGCTGCTTATGATCTATAAGGCACAGATCCTACCTGTCCTGGAATAATGTTCTCATATTTGGAGTGCAGCACCCAAACCTATCCTGAGACTCTTGAGTGATGCCTCGCTCACAAACTCACTCACTTCTCTGGAACACCGTGGAAAAGTTGGCGATTTGGCTCTATTTCATAGATATTTTCATGGTCGATGTTCATCTGAAATATCAACAATTGTTCCTCCCTTGGCAGTCCCCGCGAGATTAACCCGTCGAGTTGAGGCTTCGCACTCTTTCGTGATCACTTTGGAGACCTGCAGAACATCTCTTTCCAAAGACTCGTTCATCCAACGGATAGCAAGGGTCGGGAACACATTGCCAAGGGAGATGTTCCCCGAGGCATATAACCTCCAGAAATTCAAGAAGAACACCAATTCCTACCTTATTTCCCTTGGTTTTTACGATGTTCTCTGAACATTACAAAATGTCCCTTTTCGTGGGTACCAGAACATAAAAAAATGTGATAACACGCACTACACGATGATGAGAGGAGTCGACGATGCATCGACGTGAGTGTGGAACCAGAAGACGTCAAAGAAGATATCAAGATACTAGAATTACTTTTAATCCATAGGATGGAATCCTTCAGTACGTATGCTGAAATTCCCTGGTTCCAGTGAGAAAAAATATCAGAAGATGAAAACTACGACCTGAAATCATCCCGATTGACAAATACGGCATGTTTTGAGTCGGTGAACAGGCAATATTGTACATCGTTTTGGGACAGGTATACTCTGATGATGCCACAATAACATCAGGTTGAGGTCCTAAAAATGCAACAATTCCTCTCAAAATCTGTTTATTGAAGATATTCAATTCATTTTGTTTTTGATGCCACATCATATAAACAATGTGTCCCAGAACAATGTACCATAAAATAAACTCGGGATCCCTGGCTGTCTTCAAGTGTAGACTTAAGGAACTCCTAGTCAGAGAATACTTTCATACTGTTGAGGAGTTCGAATCCTACTTTTCAATTTTCCAATAATATCGAAGTATTTCATCTTGTCTCACTATTCTCTGGTTTGTCAATTCCTCAATTACACTGTTCTTCCTTTTGATGACATGTATATATCATCGACGTATCCTATCAATTGTAACCGATGGTTGAAGGGATCGATATATATTTTGTTCATTCCATTTCAATTCTACAGGGTTAACTAGAGACCAAGATAGGCCGATTGAAATCAACCTCCATACGAAAATGCACCGTTGAGCCGTGAGTGGGCGATGAAAAACAATTTTATTTACAGATTTTCTTCAATATTTCGAAATCCTTGAGAGGTACTGCTCTGAAATTCGTAGGGCAATTTACTATAGTAAATTTGCATAAAAAACATGTCGTACCATTCCTATCAATATATAGAGAGTTAGGTATTACGCATTCTCTTTGATAAAAATTAATGTAACTTCTTCAGAGTACGGCACTGATCATATGGTGAAATAGTTCATAAATTAAAATTTATTCATTGTAGTCCATAACTCAACACAAATGAGGCGAAAACTTGCGAAACATGACATGACATGTTTCGCAAACAAGTATGAAGAAGCACCATTATGAATTTTGTTAGATATCTCGAAAACCAAGAAAAAATATAAGAACAATGCAGTTAAGACAAGTCAGATGACTGATTTTTTTATCCATCGAAATATCAAAATATGATCAGTGCCGACTACAAAAAAAGTTACATTAATTTTTATCAAAGAGAATGCGAAATATCTATATAACTCCCTCTATATTGATTGAATTGGTACGACATGTTTTCCATGCACATTCACTATAGTAAATTGCCCTACGAATTTTATAGCAGTTCCGTTCAAGGGTTCCGAAATTTAAAAAAAAAATCTTGAAATAAAATTGTTCTTCATTGGCCTCCCAAGGCTCAACGGTGCATTAGCGTATAGATGTGAGTTGATTTTAATCGCCCTGATTTGGCATCTATTGTTCACCCAGTAGAATTCTGGATACGTTGTTCTGAGACACCTTGTTAAGTATGAATAACCATCTCATAGATACATATACTATGTTCTATCTAAAGGCGCTGGAGCATCAACTAACGGAGTTCTCTGGCAGGAAAATGAATGGTGAATAATTTAACCTAATGGTATTCAATCTAAGTTGAACTGGCTGGTTGAAAGTTAACATTCCATATAGGTCTATCCATCCTAAATTTCCTAGTTATGAGATTTAGTACCTTCAATTTTCATCTGCTTCTGGTCTTGATGAGAAAAACTCAATAGTTTCTTCAGGAGAGTGAAATTCATTGAATATGTTATTCTCGCTTCTGTATGATTCAATGTTCAAGTTGTTTAAAAATATCCAAAATATCTTGTAATTTGGAAGGCACCTAATATGACTAATTGTTCGACAGGTTTTATATCCATTCGCTGAACTGATGTCAGTAAATCACTCACATTGTTCAGTTTTAAAATTTTTATTTTATCAATTATCATGAATTCGATGATTGAAGTTTAGTATAACATCAAATTACCACAGATAGTTAGAGTCGCAGTTGGAGTGCCTATTCATTATTTGAGATCTATACCAGAGCGAACTCGTGGAAGACGATTCGATAGTTGTTAGGGGAGAAGCTGTTTGAGTATCTTTATAATCAGTTTCATTTCCAAAGTCAAGATTGGAC